TGAAATACAAAAAAACTTCTTGGAAAACATACATAGCATAGATACATTAGTATTTATGTATCTTTAACTGTATCTGTTCGCACGCATATACATATGTATGTATGAATATAAATGCCAACACAGCATATACTCTTAAAGAGTATTTTGTGGCCATTTTTGTGTGAGCCAGTTTCAGGTTTATTTTGTTGTACAAGTAGTGCATACATAGGTATGTATATTATATTGTTGCCGAAGAGAGAGATACATTTAAAGACAGAGAACGGTGTGTTGTGTGTGTGTCTTGGAAACGACCTTTGCAAGCATTTTTTGTTTTTGTTTTTCTTTTGTTACTCGACCGCAACGAAAGTGTGCGGCGGCATACAGAAAGAAGGGGGAAAAGTCGAAGTCAAACACAAAATCAAACTAAAAAATAAAACAAGATCACAGCTGAATTGAAACTACTTTGAGAGTAGGCCAATCTGAAAACATTCTACGCTTGTCCTAGGTACAGGGGAAATAGTAGAATGGGTAAACCCTAATGGATTGGGCTCACATTATGGTAATCTCTGTACAATCAAGTTTAACGAACAGCACGAAACGTGGGCCAATGAATCATTTAGGCATAAGCAATGTTCCATTGAGAACTACATGACATGTCTGTCTCTTAAAGTCTCGTAGAACCTATGAAAAATTACAGATTGTATCCCTAAGATACATTTGTATACATAATCTATCAATATCTGCATTTGGATTTTAAAAAATTAATTATTTGACAGACTTTAAATATTTGTTAATTTCACTATTTTTAAAATATAAAAACCGAATATTTGATTCAAGTAGAAAAGCACCCTTCATTTGCCGTATTTCTGTCTATAACACTACTCAACAATTTTTTCATGGTTTTTTTCAGAGGTAGTGCTTGTATTTTTCACATAACTTAAGTATCTTATATCTGGTTGCATAGAACTTTGCAGTTCTGAAAAGCTGACAAATGCAGCTTCAAATCCGACCCAGACACAAACTAAAAATGCATACCAAGAAATACCAAAGATACTTAAGTTACGTACAAAATAGAAGCACTACCTCTGAAAAAAAACATTAAAAAAATACAAAATTTTAATAAATTCTTAAAAAAAAAAATAAACCATAAAAAAACCATAACTCGTTAACAAATTTTAAACCCCTAAGTCTATAAGAAAAAGTCATTTTGGGCCACAGCCTAATTATCGTGTTGACTAGTGTAATTGATGGCAATAAATACCCAAAAAAAGAGAACATATTTCCACTGATTCAAGCCATAATTTACTCCCAGTTTATTATCAATTGAAATCTCCCAAGGCAAAAATCGTATGTATAATTTTCTTGCAATAAGTATGTTTTCATACGATTCCATTTGAAACTCCTTTGCATCCGGCTACAGTTTGATGATTATCATTACCGATCATCGTCACCGTCACTCTCATCCAAAACTGTCACATTAACTTTGATTAGGTGCTGTATGGTGTATGGTCCATGGTGCATTGTGCATGGTGGCATGGTGCTGGTATGGTTGATGCTGAGAAAAGAGACAACCGAAAGTAATCTTCGCTTGGCTTTGGAAAAGTGCAGAAATGGCCGGTCGCAAGCGAAAACCGAAGAAGAAATTTTTAGTATATTTTTTGTCTTGTTTTTATTTCTTGTTGCGCATTTTGCTTTTCTTTTAACTTTCACCTGAAGCCGGCGACGACTACCCAGCGGCATAAAAGCACAGCATTAGAAGTCATCATCATCATGATCGAGATGATCATGATGGAGTTGTGTGCTTTGAAGTCTAGTCGCAAAAATTAACGCATACCAAAGAGCAGAAGAGCAAAATCACAGAAACGCGTTGCGTTGTGTGGCAATGCCACTGTGTGCTCTGGTGGCCATAAAGCAACAAATTGTGGCAAGTAAATGGGACCGGATCCCTCCTCCCTCTGCCTTTGCCTCTTTCCCTCTCTATTGCTCCAGCTAGTATGTCCATCTATTCCCCTTTTATCTTAGAAAGTTTCGATATCTCGTACGCAGGCGCATACCTATACAGAAAGAAAACATAATACTTGCCCCCCCCTTCAGATTTATTTTAAATAAACTAAAAATAATAAAATAAATAATAGATAAATATTAAATGTAAAGTCTTACGCTTATGGAAAAATTGTACAGCGAATCAAGAACATTCGCATCATTCGATGAACGTTTCCGAATTTTCCGAACAGGTGGATGTGGATTAGGTTTGGAAAGAGTAAAGGAGAAGATTATTTTATCAAGGGCTAACGCACTCTTGCATCTATCGCTTCGGTGACCTGCTTTTTGGCTTCCCCCCGCCCCCTGCCATATGCCATATTCCATACTCCATACTCTTTTCAAAGTACATACGTTATCTTTTGCCATGACACACTGACGAAGGAGAGGAGAAGACAAGACAAGACGCTGGCACATAGACCAGCCATTACCGCGACATCACTATTAAACGAGAAGCAGCAGCAACAGAGCAAAGAATCGTTAAAGAAAAACCAAAGAGAGTGAGAAAGAAGAATTAATATTTCCACGAAAGTCGAAGCTTTCATACCCTTGATTAAATTTTGATATACCAAAAGTAAACTTTAGAAGATGTAAGTAATCCAATCCGATTTACATATATGTATGTATGTACTATAATGCTTGAAGAAATCCAAAACCATCCATGATTATTTGTTAAGTTTTTTGTCTGTCAATTTGTACCTTCCTCGTAACTTAAAAACTTCATAGACAAATTGCAAGAAACGAATGTGCACATTTGTATGTATATGTATGTATGTATGTATATGCCTCTGTATCTTTAGCTGCATCTGTGTAACCACTGAGTTACCTTAGCACTCAACAGAGCAACATTAAGCTGATGATCACTGCAGAGGTAGCGGCGTAGGAAGAGGCTGAATGGTGGATCGTCGTGTAGAGAGCGCTTGAAAATTGAAACTCGCGAAATACCCTAAAAAACATATGGGGAATAGCTGAATAATAAATATAAGAATTTAGTGAGTGATAGCTAAAAATAATCAAAACAATAAATAACTAATTTACAGTGGAAAAAAAAGTAATCACTTATCTAATATCTCCCTTAAATTTGTTTAATATTTAAGGCCTGTCTCCAGCACCGCGGAAAATTGCGGCAAGGAATTTGCTAGTTATTCCCTGAGGGTGTGGAACATAGCTAAAACAGGGTTGATGAATCAGCGGTGTTTTGTAAACAGAGGCAACTCTACAATTCTGCTAAAATTAAACTAGGAAAAAAATGCACTCTGATGATGAAGTGACTGTGTTGGTGGCGGCATATATTGTTGCAAAACAAAAAAGAATAATTTTCATCTCTCTTTTTGGTTTTGCGGACAGTTTTTTCCTACATCTTGCACCATTCACTTCAGGAAGAATTGTAAAATATATATTCTTGAGCTGGGTGTCAGCTGTTCTCTCAGTTCACACGGTCCCGATAGGCAACTATCGATATAAATCACAGATTCCGCTCTTGTTGCTGGATACACACTCCAGGAAAACGTAAAAGAAATTTTCCTGGCACATTTTTTTTTAATATGAAGTTTGCCAGGAATTTTTAGATTCCGCGGTGCTGGATACAATGCTTTAAAGGGTACACTCGTATAAAGAGTATACATACATATGTATAATTTTTTTGTAAGGGTATCCTAAAGGTTTCGTTCTACATGAAAGTTGTGACTCGTTTTTTACGTAGATTTGTTTTGTTTGCTCTTTTCGTTGACGGGTTTCTGACTCTATTGCCACACGAGTTAACTTTATTTCTTATATTTTCTCTCCCTCTCTCGCGCTCTCTGTTTCTCTGTCTTGGCTTGGTTCTTGTAAAACAAAGACCGTTAATTGACATAGAATTTTTAGGTTTATGCCCCGACGACGCTGACGGAAATACCCCAACTTCTCCGCCGCTCGTACCTCCCGCTCTTTTGTCATACCAAATATAATTTCCATAAAGTTTTCGTCGTAAGCGGTCGGTCATATACCTACACTATTTCTTTTTAGTCTAAAACAAAAGCAATCCCCTGCATCCCCCACCACTTATCGCACACACTCAGCTCAAAAGCCCCTTGAACTACCGTCTGAGAACAAAAGTGTGTGTGCCCCCGTGTCCCTTGCCCCTGCCCCGCTCCCGCCATCATTAGATGGTTATGTGTGGGGTGAGTGCTGTGGTTGAGTTGGGATTGGGGTTGGCGATATTACAAAATGCTAATTGCTGCCCGAATTTCAGTGAGAAATCAGCTAATTGTCAGACAGAAAGTGGGCAAAGGAGGAACATATACACACGTATGTATATACATATGCTGAAAGCGATAGAAGGAGAGATAGATAGATGGAGAGATAGCTGAGAGACAGAGAGCAACTGGTGGAAGCAATTCCAAGAGCATTTATTGCGGGAGAGGACAAAACAAAAGTGTGCAGATCAAGAGATAAGACAATGGCGACTGCTGCACTACATTCTACACCGCGCTCAACGCATAAAACTACAAACTATATGCAAGAAATAAATCCACCATAATCTTAAGAGAGAGAGAGAGATATTCGATCTGCTTTCTCTATGTCTTATCTTATTATTTGTTAGAACTTCCACTGATTTCTTCACCCATTTTCAAAGACAATGCAATGAAAGAGTTTCCCTAACAGTGTGACCGTATAATTAGATCAGGGTTCCTTGAATATTTTATGTGGTTTTTCTACCACTGGACTCACCCGCCCGCAAGTGCCTTCCCCATGCGTTGCGAAGCCTAAGAGATCCTTTTTGAGCGAGTCTCGCAATACGCACTCGCTCACGAGCACAGCAATGGTATAAGCAAGGGCGAAACAGGAACAATGGACAATCAAGTAAAGAAGAAGAGGAGTTTACTACAAACTGAGAACAATTTCGGAGAGTCAGCTCATGTACAGCCAACTGATTGAAATACTCTTTACAAACAGATAAATCGATTAATACGAACACAGGATAGAAAATACTTATATGTAGATACCTCTCAGAAAAACGTCCAACAAGGATACTGTTAAATTATACCTCATAAATTATCTCGCCACAAAACATTAAAACATTAGTCAGGAAACAGTCGAAACAGTTTTTAAACAGTCAAAAAAGTCGAAGAAACAGCGCAATGACTCGGTCGTTCAGTGTGATGCTAAAATCGTCAAAGGGTGAATTCATTTTGAATGGATTGAAACGGGGTACAACCCTTGGCGAGCTAAAGACGATTATCGCCCAAACGATGGCCATACCGGAGCCGCTGCAGCTGCACTTGCTGATCGGCTGTCCACCCCAACGTTTAGATCTCTCGCAAGATCGAGACCTAAAGACAGTGGGAATCAAAAGCGGTGATACCTTGATACTGGAGGAAAAGGCTGGGCTTGGAACTGGAGATGAAGCACCAGTGACTGCGACTGCCACCGCCACCCAGGCCACTGTCTGTTCAATGCTGGCGAATGACGAGGCGCTAGCTCGTCGTCTGCAAGCCGAAGGGAATGTCGGTCAGCAGGGTTTAGATAACGAAATGCCAGACCAAGAGGAGTCATCGGGATCGACGAGCGGCAGCTTTAATGGCATCGTTCTGAAGAAGGAGGTGCCGGCGGATAACTCGTGCCTCTTTACGAGCATTCGCTTCGTATTAAATGGCAAGTTGGATGACGAGGGCAGCGAATTGATGCGCCACATTGTGGCCCAGGAGGTGTCCGCCGATGCCGACCGATACAACGATGCAGTTCTGGGCAAGTCAAATGCTGATTATTGCGCCTGGATCCAGAAGCCGGACTCGTGGGGCGGAGCCATCGAGGTCGCCGTTCTCTCCAATTACTACGGCATTGAGATCGATGTGGTGGACATCCAGAATGCCATCATCAATCGGTTCGGGGAGGACAAAAACTTTGGAATGCGCGTCTTCATCCTCTACAACGGCATCCACTACGATCCATTGTACATGGATTACTTCCAGAATGAGTCTGAGGCCACCATCTTTCCCGTGGAGGAGATGGGCGTCTACCACCAGGCCAAGCAGATTGCCTTCGAGGCCCACGCCTCAGGACAGTTCATCAACGTGGAAAAACTCGCCGTTCGCTGCCTGGTCTGTGATGCGGCGCTGTTGGGCCGGAAGCAGGCCCAGAAGCACTACAAATCGACTGGACACAAGAAGTTTGAAGAGATGTAAACACAGTTATGTTTTTGATATAATAAATTTGTTGCTCTTTGCAGTGGATCAAAAATTATATCCCATAAAAATCCCCTACCCTTACTTCAAGTCTGTTCTTAACTCAATTGGCATGCCAAACCAAAGCTAAATGATTTATGATTAATTCGATCGATTAATTACATTACATGCAGATGCCAGATTATTGAAATCGACACATCATCATCATCGCGAGATAAGGTTAATCAGCTGTCATCATCTGGTGGGAAGGAGGGGAACGGACCCCACAGCCGCCTTCCTCCTGTGAGAGAGAACTGCAATTGAAATGTTTGCTTTAATTGTGACTAATTAGTCATCAATATATGTAGTAGCAGCAGCATAGAAAATAATTAAAAGATACGTCTATATAAGAGCAGGAAACTCGAAAGAAATCGAGATTGAATGAATGAACGAATCAATCACTCAATCAGCGCACAAACAAGTTTACAATGACCTTTGTTTAAAAAACAAACTTCAACTGAAAGAAATATCAGCGATAATTCAAAGATAGTTCTTGTATTCTTATAACAAACGATATGAACGATTGAAGGTGATTGAAGCCTAGGGTAGAGTCTCTTGTAATCCTACTACTAGGAAGGGTGTTGGGAGTGGATCCATACTTATTATACTAATAATAAAAACTTTTTATTTCTTATGCAAATGAACGTTGAGATTAATTTTTATTGCAGCTCAGCCTTAGCTGGTGTTCTCCCATCTTAGTCCTATAAAACAATTAAAAAAAAAACAAGAAATAAAGTCTACCAAAGCTATTAATACCCTCTAGATCGTATATTACAAAAAAAAAAAATCTGGAGTGAATATAACGGCTCAATCGTTCAAGAGTACTCTTTTCCAGGGTATTCGAAGAATTCAAAGCGTGGGCGACACTATCTGCACAAATACTTCCCGATTTCCGCTCCATTACTCACTCAGCGAGAGAGAGGTGATATGTACATATGTATGTAGATTCATTTGAGAAGGGCAGTGGTGGGAATGGGGGTACGGGTACTTGCATGTCGTAGTGTTACAAACAGCCAATAACCATCAATTATCGTCTGTCAGATGTGAGTCTTGTAATGTGTATCTCGCAGATACAGATACATGGCTTGCAGTGCCGATTATATTTATGGATTTTTTATTATTACTATTTTTTTCCTGTTTATTTGCAAAAAATGTTTTATTCATAATTAATTGATTTTTTTATTTTATAACACAGCTGCTTATTATAATGATTCCCGAGCAAACCGAACCGATTCGGATTCGAGCCGATTGTTGCATAATAATAATCTTTTTTCACAGATTTTTTGTAGTATTTTTTTGGTTTAGTTTTGTTGATATTTTGTTGGGTTTTGTGAAAGGCATAGACACACACACACACACACAAAGGGAGCTTGTAGCCACGGACTCTGATGTCTAAAACTAGAAAAAAGAGTTCAATAAACCGCATGGAATTCAAATCTATTGACCCACAAAAAAGGAATACTCCGCACACACACACACAATACGGGCGAATACGAATATCTACAGCAATAAATGGCAAGACACAGATATACATATAAGCCAAACTTAAAATAATAATACTAAAAAAAGAGATACGCAATGCAAAATCATTAAAAGAAAACAATAAGCAATCAGCAAAACAGACAACAGAAAGCAAAAGCAAAAGGTGGAGGAGGAACAGTGGAGCAAAAGGGTGGGCTTGGATACCCAGATCCCTGTTTTCAGGTCCCAGGCCAAGGCCGCAGCAGGAAGACATCGGAGGAGCAAGAATTATTCAAGTGGGACAAGGCCAAGTTAATTTACGGAATTGCGGAATTGGTAATCAAGGGAAAGATCGATCGATTGATCGGATTGGATCGCAACATAAGTAAGATGAAAGGGAAAATAAGGAAAGGAAAAGTGGGTTTATTATGAATTTTGAACATTAAAAGATTACCCAATAATCTTATTTATGTATAAAAAAAACTGAACCTGGCTGCAGTCTTCGCAGATTGTCATGAGGGTACTTGAGCGATCATCCTGAGACAAGGAGATAAAATCAGGAGATGCGGTATCTTCGTTGATTTTATCTAAGACTCGGGAAAAATTTTGCTGACTGCCTTCGTTAAATTAAATTTATATTTATATTAATATTTAATTTTTAAAAATTTGACCCCTTTTTTTTTGTTCTTCTATACAAAAAAATTCCAATCGTATATTAACCGCTTCATAAACGTTTTATTTTTTTTTTAAATTTTATTTTATGGACTACCTTGAACGACCTTGCCGCCATTTAGTCGCCTGCTAAACAACAAACTTGGTGAAAATGCATTAAGAAAATCACAAAATACGAGAAGAAAAAAAAACCGCACGAGAGTCGCGCTTAACATTTTTTGGTTGTGTCGATATCGGTTTCGGTGCCCCCCTGCCCTGCCCAACCGCCTGACTATAAAATTTGGATATTTGTGTGTATTATTCGAATCGACTACGCTTATTTTGGTGTGAGATCTTATATGTTGGCTGCGGTTTGTGATGTGTTTTCCAGAGTGCGTCTGTGTGTGGGCTGTTGTACTTTGGTCAGCGAACGGTGATGGGTTACTCTTATGACGATGATATGGTGTCATCATTGACACCAGAGATAGACAGTTACGAAAACAAAAACCCAACGAACGATCAACAAGAAATTAAATACGAAATATATAAAATCCAAGACACACTGATGACTGATGCCCACGCCCACTCTCAGTGGTTCTTTGGGGTCTTTAAATCAGAGGCCGGCAGCGTCGTATGCACTGTGCATAGGAAAAAATTTCGAGCAGCGCAGTCGGCACACGTACAGTGAAAGACTTCGGTTTCGTTATTCTGCCTGATGACGTAGCGGCAGAGAAAATTCTGCTCTGCTGACGTCGCGGCAGAGAAAAATGCTTCGGGCTATGCACAAACGGCTTCATATTCTGCCCGCTTGCCTCAGCGGCAGAGAAGCATTCGTGTGCCCTATGCACAATTCTTCGGCTTTCGCAGCGGCAGAGAAATAAGTAACGAATTTGACTTGTGTCTGTTGTTTTCGCACACAAACGAAAATGCTCCAAAATGTAGAAAGATGTGAAGCTGATTGACACACTCCTATGGAGAACCATAAACAAAAACTCTCAAAAATTTATTGGGGACATCCATAGCTTTAAATAGAGTTCCCACAATCTATTCCAATGGAAATTCATAGAAGAAAAGAAAGTACTAGTGGGGTAGAAGATCTCATTAAAAGCATCTCTCCCATTTGTGGCTCTCAATCATCTGGTAACGGCAGAGTGGTGTTATATAGACCAACAAGAACAAATGACTTAATCAGGTTGTGACCAAGAGAACTTTCCCTGAAACAATGGAAACAACAAATTTGCAACCCCCCTCTAACCGTTACATGCCAAATACCAAGTCAAAGAGCCAAAGACAAAGCCACACCACAGCTGAAAGCTGTGTGTGAATGATTTGTGTGTAAAAGGCCTTTGGTTGATCCAACCTTGAACTTGATTTCGACCATGTGCAATTCGCAGATATACATTTATACATATGTATTTACATGCATCCAATATATATTATATTTAATTACTATCGGAATTAAAGAGTTTGGCACGTAGCCGAAAGAATCGTGACAAACAATTTGGCAAATAAAAGAACAACAAAATCTATATCGAGCAAAGCCAGAGTCAGAGCTAAAGCCAAGAAACTGGTATCGAAATATTAGACTCGGACTTTGGCTAACAACTGAGTGACTGCTTTGACTGTTTATGGCCAGAACACGACATCGATTTGGCAACAAACGAACGACAGGCGGAAAGTTAAAACGGCACCGCTATAGTTTTTTTTTTTTTGTTATTATTACAGAGCTAGAATCTCGGCCTGGAGCCAAAATAGAAACAGATTTCTATTGACTGCAAACTGTAAAACTGTATAGAAGCCACCAATATCTGAAAGATCTTCAGAATGTACTAAAATCCAAATCTAATGTCAATAATAAAACCTGAAAAAATATATTAAACGACTCGCATGAATAACCATTATCTTGATTATGATATCACTTTATTTCCACTTAGATTTAAAAATGCTTACCAATAGTTTTACTCAGAGAGAGTGAATAAATTTCTTTAAAAGAAATCACTGTGAGACACATAAGATACACGAGGAGGCAGAGGCAGATAGACAAATACCTAAGTAAATATAAGATTATTATGAATGTGTTTTTTCTAGTTTTAATTAGCATAATTTACGTGCAAATGCTAAATAGAACGAACACAAAGACAGGTATAGGGGATAGAGGATAGAGGGGTGCCTTCTGCCACAGATCAATTGTGAAATGTGTCGAGTGGCTATGGAGTTGGATTTGACAGCCACTCATAGAGACGGAGAGAGACGGAGAGAGACGGTGACGAGATGACGCTCAGGCGTGTTCCAGTGTCAAATTAGTCGCCATTAAAAAGCTCCAAACACTGTACATATTCCCAGCAGGGGGGGAAAGCAGCCAAAACGGGGTAATAAAAAAAAGTAATAAAATGATAAATCATAGATCAAATCGAATCGAATCGGTTCGGAATAGTCTCGTATATACAAACGTATTAAATATGAAATTTTAATTGCCACTGCAATTGGAATTGCCATATATATGTATATATATTTTTTTTCATTTGGCCTGGCGTCCGCTTTTGGGGCGGTTAGAAACGCAGACTCACGAAACGTTAACGTTTCGCGCGCGCGCACTTGCGCTCGCGTATTTTTTGGCGCGTCAATTCCTCCACCCGCACACACAATCGCGCGGAAAACGCGATCAAAGGCAAAGCGCGCTCGCGATTCTCTACCCAGAAACACAAAAAAAAAGATACCAAATGTAGATTGTAGTGGAGACTCTTGATCATTGCCTTTTTCCGTGTTCGCCCCAAAACGGGGCAACATTTGTGTTGTGGCGCCGCAACAAAGCAGCAGCAGCAACAGCAAACGTTGATGCAGAATAAACGCTCTGGCGACAAAAACCGCCAGCCGCCAGCTCATGATTTAATGCGGTTTTCAGTTGCCCAGTTGTTTGCAACGTCAAA